AAAGAGAGTCTGAAGAATAACATATTTTGGCATTTGCTTCATTGGCAAAAATATTCTGAATTATTGAAATGTACTGTTTCCCTATTTATTAATTGAAAGGACTCTTAGTTTGAAACTATCAATTGCTGTTCAAAAATTAATTAAGTAAATATAATCAAAATCCATCTAAACATGATGGTTTTGATTTACTTATTACCCAAATCCAAGGAAGCTTCTGAAGTGTCAGGAGCAGGAAAACAGCTCCTGCAGGTATTTTGATGTCGCAACTGAGCTAAGCACTGTTGAAGATTTTACCACCAATTTCAGATTGGCCAAGGTCTGAAGGCTACCTATGAGGTCTATCGAGTGATTGAGTCATCCATTCTTACCTTGTTGTCATTGTCAGCATATATTCCTTTTTCAGGAACATTTCAATAACTTAACAGGTGGTACGGAGGATAAAGGCTACAGGCAGTCTCCTTCGGGAAGAACATGTCTCGTTCTTTCTCATTCTAGTAAACTAAGTGACCTTGGCAAGTGATATCACAGGGGACATGTAAAAGAATCAGGTAGTCAACTTTTAGATAAAAAAAAGACAGATAAGGAGTAATGCTTCGTGAACCTTTCCTTTTTGCTAAAAAGCACCCCTGGAGCAATATTAGTCAGACTGTTGTTCGGATTCCACCATGCTTCTCTAGTATAAGTCTGCATGTGCAACCAGAGAACTTAGGAAAAAAGGTTATTTTTAACATGGGTTCAAATGGAAAGATCCTGTCAGTCCCATGGCTGACCCAAAGTGTCATTACAGTCTTGAAAGACCTGGATTGTGGCCTCTGCCTGGATTCCTACTTCTTCTGCCGTGCTAAGCCCAGCCCAAGGAACTTACCTTTTCGGAAAATCAGCCTTCTGTTGGATGTTAGTGCACAAACAGTGTGATTGGGATCACTGTTCTCCTTTTCTGTGTCACTTTTCATCTCTGAGAACGAGGACTTCTTGCAGATGTCTTGGATGTCATTGTCACTGACGTTTAAACCCAGGAACAAACTGATTTCCATTACAATCTTAGAGAGATCCTGAGGTACAAGAAAAAGAAAGCTTTTATGTTTCTGGACTGGTTATCAGACTTTTAGTTGATATGAAAATTATCCTTTTTATTACATGGCAAGTTTATCATGCTTTCATTTGCTTTCAAACAGAGCTAAACATGTCATTGAACTGTGTAGTTGACAGTTACAGTAAACCTGATTCCCCTCTTACCCGTACTCACAGAAATGACTAAATACTGAGTATGTGATCAAATACAGTTACACTGCCAATTTTACTCCCAGTTCAGGTAAAGCATTCTCCTCTCTCTCAGAATTATTGTACTAGAAATAGAGAAATACTGAAAGCTCAGCTTCAGTGTAATTGGCTTATTTCATTGGAGGTGCTATATCTAGAGAGGCAACAAGTGACTCAGGATCCAAAATGGTTTGTTTATATTCCTCATACTGGATTTATTTACTTGTTTGTCTGTTTGTTTCAAAAAATGAACAAAACTACTTGAATGGAAACACTAGAAAGTGTTTTCTGTTCACCCAAAAATGTGTTCTCTGACAGCTAAGGTATGTTGGTATTTGAGGGGTTTTTTTAAGAATAGCAAAGTAGTTTTTGCGTAATAATTTCTTTTCATCAAAACTTTTTCCTACCCCTCCAGCCTCTAATATTCTTGTTTATTGGGAGCACAAGTACCACTGACCATGAGTACTTCTGTTGTCTTATGTCACTTTTTGAAAATTTCATCTGAAGTATTAGACATAGCAAGTTAATGTGTGGCCCTCAACAGATATCCTTGGTTCGTCTTTCCATAGGATCAAGAATGAGGAACCTAAAATTCTGTAGCCTGGGGAAAATCACGTAAAATTTTTCCCACTCCTGGATCTATGAAATGCAACTCTCACAGGATTTGATATTTATATAGCTTGTGAAGTCCGAATTAGTTCACTAACATAAAGTTCTATGCAAATATAAAATACGCTCAAAGACATAGATTCACATTTTCCTTCTTTCTCCTTTTTCATTATAATTTCGTCTTTGGTATTTTAATAATGTTAATTTATACAATAATGCATTCTGAAATAAGAGCAGAGAGCATATTTACCTTCTTCATATCTTCATAGAACAAAAACAGGATGTTTTTGTCATTTTTGTGTTCTTCCCAGCTTAGGAAATGATCAAACCAGGATCCGCAGACAACTGAAAAGAAACCCATGCAAAAGACATTTGTAAAAACTTTATTAATCAATTACTCTGATGGTACCACATGCATTTACGGGAATGATTCCTTCATAATATGTACCCTGTATTCCTCTAAAACAGATGAAATTCTTTTTGTGGCTCAAACTTACAACCAAAAGAGGTTACTATTCTTGTTGGAATTTGTTTTTGTGTCAGAGATGCAAATACTGTCCTGCGATACGATTCTGCAGTGGAAACAGGCTCCAGATCTAAGGAAAGGTAAGTAATGAAGGAAGATGTATTGGCGTAACAAGATCTGAGCATCTTGACAAATATCTGCATGCCTATGGTCACAGCTAAAAATAAGATCACTTCACTAGGAAATGAAATGAGTCCATTAAATACAGCACACTGTTCACAGAATCACAGAATATCAGGAGTTAGAAGGGACCTTGAAAGATCATCTAGTCCAACCACCCTGCCAGAGCAGGATCACCTAGACTAGGTCACACAGGAACGCGTTCAGGTGGGTTTTGAATGTCTCCAGAGAAGGAGAATCCACAACCTCTTTGGGCAGCCTGTTCCAGTGCTCTGTCACCCTTAGAGTAAAAAAGTTTTTCCTCATGTTCACGTGGAACCTCCTATGCTCCAGCTTGCTCCCATTGCCCCTTGTCCTATCATTTGACATGAGAGAGAAGAGCCTGGCTCCTTCCTCCTGACACTGACCCTTTACAAATTTATAAACATTAATGAGGTCACCCCTCAGTCTCCTCTTCTCCAAGCTAAAGAGACCCAGCTCCCTCAGCCAGTCCTCATAAGGGAGATGCTCCACTCCCTCAATCATCTTTGTGGCTCTGTGCTAGACTCTTTCAAGCAATTCCCTGTCCTTCTTGAACTGAGGGGACCAGAACCGAACGCAGTATTCCAAATGCGGTCTCACCAGGGCAGAGTAGAGGGGGAGGAGGACCTTCCTCGACCTACTCACCACACTCCTTCTAATACACCCCAGGATGCCATTGGCCTTCTTGTCCGCAAGGGCACACTGCTGGCTCATGGTCATCCTGCTGTCCACCAACACCCCCAGGTCCTTTTCTGCCTGGTTGCTTTCCAGCCACTCGTCCCCAAGCCTGTAGCGCTGCATGGGGTTATTGC